AAGACGAAAGCAAATTCTGAATGGGTTTATAGAAGTTGATATTATCAGTTTAAATCTAGAGAAAAACAAAACGCGACTTTGTTAAACTGCAAATATCAAACTTTATTTCTTCGGTCAGTGACCTACACAGCTTACCCTTATGCAATAATGTTCAGCAAAGTAAGATCTACAAATAAGTCAACATGACCAAAATTGTCTATTGACCCCTTAAAGAGTTATTGTCCTTTATAGTCAATTTTTAACAATTTTTCGCAAATTTTTGTAATCTTTTACAAAAATCTTCTCCTTTGAAACTACTCAGAAAAATTTAAACAAACTTGGCCATACTCATCATTGGGGTATCTAGTTTAAACAATGTGTCCGATGACCCCGCCTGCCAACAAACATGTCCAACATGGCTAAAAATCGAACAATGGGGTAAAATGCAGATTTTGGCTTTTATCTCTGAAACTAAAGCATTTAGAGCAAATCTGACATTGGGTAAAAATTTCATCAGGTTTAGATCTATCTGCCCTGAAATTTTCAGAAGAATCAGACAACCCGTTGTTGGGTTGCTGCCCCTGAATTGGTAATTTTAAGGAAATGTTGCAGTTTTTGGTTATTATCTTAAATATTATTATAGATAGAGATAAACTGTAAACAGCAATAATGTTTAGCAAAGTATGATCTACAAATAAGTCATATGACCAAAATTGTCAATTGACCGCTAAATAATTGCTCTTTATAGTAAACTTTTCGTTAATTTTTGTAATCTTTTACAAAAATCTTCTCCACTTAATCTACTGGGCCAAATAGAATTAAAATTTTCAATAGGGTATCTTGATTGAAAAATGTATCCGATGACCCTGTCATCCAACCAGCATGGCCGCCATGGCTAAAAATGGAACATAGGGGTTTACTATAGAAGTCTAAGGGAAAATTGTAAAAAAACAATTTCAAATGGTCACAACTTGAAAACTAATTTAAATAATGATAAGGGTTCTTCAGTAACTATTGTAAGACTACAATGGGATGACCTGCTTTTTAATTTAACTACTGGGCCAAATTTAACCAAACTAGGCCTCAATCATTATTAGGGTATCTAATACTATTTATTATGATTTTAACCTTATTTTACATGATTTCCAAAACCACAATAGATACAGGTGAGCGATACAGGCTCTTGAGAGCCTCTAGTTTGCCTTGGCATTTTTAGTTCGTGTTCGACTTATGAGTTTGACTGTCACTTTAGTGTCTCGCGCCTCTCTTTTCATTGTGTATGTTTTAATTTTAATGAGATAGATCTATTCGAGTTAACATTTTCACCAAACCTATGGATTTTTAAAGTCACCGTTGTAAACATTCTGCTTAATACAAAAAATGGAACGAGTTGATGAGATGAGTACCAGCTGGTTTTCTATAAAAAATGTCGATATGTTTTCAACACAATAATGCAAGCATACTGATTATGTCAATTTCCAAGGAATGTTTGGGTAATTTCAATTTTTTACAAAAACGAAATCGTGTTTTGGTTTTCTCTCTCTCTCTCTCTCTCTCTCTCTCTCTCTCTCTCTCTCTCTCTCATAACAATAATCAAAAGCTTGTGCAACAGAAGCTTTGGGATTAATACTGATAATTACAAGTTTGACGACATATGCAGATTTTTATGAATAAAAAATATCACTATTGTATCGTAAATACTGATTAAATGTATATAAAACGATTTCAATGTCTCGTCGCCTTCTTAGAAATCGAAGCCATGATTATCCATCCTTACTTAGGATTACCGTCGTCTGGAAACTTTTGAAAAATCCCAGGTGTTCAGGGCCAATTACTACTGTGATGAACCCGTGCTAATTTTTTTAAGACTAAAAAGCAGACACATTAAAAGCTTCGTGATAAATGATGATAATAATGCTAATGTCAACTTATTTTGATTTCTAACAATACAATTATTACTAATGGGTTGAAAAGAGATGAACAGAAAATAGATGAATAGAGAAACATGAACGCGATCATATTGTCTCTTTATCAGCTTATAACATAAGTATTCACGCTAAATGCATACACTAGTAAAAGAATTTTAGTCTTAACCGAACGGTCATTTTGATTTGTCATTAGTCGATAAACAGAAACTTGAGATCAAGGTCAAAGGTTAAGGTCATTTTCTAAATTTTGAACATTGCTCGTTATCGCAACTCCAAAGAAACCGTAAAGGTTATCGAGATAAATTTTGTTGTCAAAATGTAAGTTACGAGTTGACGCAACGCCAATACATTTGGGTTAAAGAGCTTAGGTGATATTTTATAGGATTTTTCTCCCCTACAATTTCCCTACGGATTGTTGATAACTTCATAACCATACATATAGACTTGTGATCTCTTGATTTGAGATCAACGAAATAACGTCAAGGTTAAAGGCCAATTTGATATAGATTTTCAACAGTCTTACTTTTTTATCAAAATTAAAATAACAAAATAATTTTGATTCGTATTACTAAGAGATTTTTTATTTGGTTATCTTGTGCAATGACATTTTCAAAATCATATACATAACTTAAAAATAAATCACAGTGATAATTGACCTGGCTAATGTGATGATGTCAAATGCGAGGAAAAGAGGACGATGTTGTGGGTACGACAATTGGAACATATGTGTGAAACATATATTCAAAAAGATCAACCAATTCGTGATGGCGTGATGTATAATGCTGTTACATAAAAAGGGAAAGGTCATAATTAGGAAGCTAAAATCTAACTCGTTAAGTTTTGTTCTCAACCGACCCTCATTGTCAATTATTTCTAGGTGTAAATAAAGATATAAGGCAGACTTACCTGTTTCTGTTGTACCCTTTATTTTAAGGACGACGGTATACATGCGTTCAACATAGGCACCAACCTTTAAATTATTAATTGAGAGGACATCATTACATAACGAAATGTGAAGTTAAAGAATAATGCTAGCTTCTTTTTATTCTTTCCAGGAAAGTATGCCTCATATGAAAACTAGTTGGAAAGAAGAGGAGCACGGTTGGTATCCATTGGAATGTCAATTGTTTTTTATTTTCAGCTTAAAATAAAAAAATTGCGGTATACTAATTTAAGAGTGTTAAGAAGGTAGACTTAGCGTAAGGGAGATAACTCTTATAAATGTTTTGAAGTAGTTAGTGCATTTTTGTCATTCAAACAGTTACTTTGCATCTATGTAACACATATTGTTTGGATTGAAATGACTGAATTGTGTAACATCTTCTGAAAAAATATAAAACATTTAAGGAAGGTTTAAGAAATATATGAAAAGGATGAAAAGGCGAATAAGACAGACCATTACAGGTCACGTAAGAGAACATTGATAAAGAGTCGTTTAGGAATGTAATATGTGCAAACTTATGTATATAAAATAGGAACGAAAAAAGAGTTACCATTCATTTTTAGACGAATATCTATTAAGCATCCTATTTTATTCAAAGAGGGCGGAATATTCCCGAGTATAAGTTTTACTCAAATGGATAAAAATTTAAAAACTGTCAATCTTGCTGGAATTTGAATATTAACGATGGATGAATGGATGACTGTTTAACGTCCAGTGACAAATTAAATGCATAATCTGGACGAGGAATATTAAAGAGTCTATATTGAGTCGTAAACTTAAAACATTGTTCAACAGTTTTACATTTTTCCTTAAAATAAAAATATTATTTCGCTGTAAAATTAAGGTCGCTGTATACGAATTTTAATACCAAATTGCAAATTTACAGGATTCAGTTTTTTAATTTTGTAACACAGGCCGTCTTTACTGAAAATGAATTAATTTATATCTGAAAGAAAATATTATTTTTACTTCCAATAAAATTTGTGTTTTGGTTAAGAATGTCCTTCTTTTACATTTGTATTATAGATATTCAACGTTTGCCACAAATCAGTAAAACTTGTGGTTTTTAACGGTCATCGAGCGATTAATTAGGTTATCTATTTACAAATAAGCCAAAACATTGTTGGAATCTCAAAGTACACACGTGATACTGCAAATTTCAGTAAAGATTGAAAGACTTATTGAAAATTATCATTGCTGTTCAATATTCAATCAAAGAAAAAAGTTAAGATGCCCTGAATTGAAGTGAACTGTATTGAAATATAATATGAGGTAGGTATTACCTGTAAAAGAGGACGACGTCCGTACTACGAATTTTAGTTTTATTGTTATGTTGTCATTATTCTTTTTTGTTATCAGATATACAAATTTGTGGGAAATCGTATGACTTACAACATGGCAGCGTCCGTCAACTGAACACGAACAGGGTAATGCGCAGACGCAACTGTTAGAAAAAAGTTAACAGTTATAAGTTCATTAGTATATTGATTGTTCTATTAATTTTCTACTGTTATTGAATTACATAAATATTAGATAGTTTGATACTTGTGTTTGTCTTATTGGCTTCAGTAACCCGACAAATTATGCTTTATATTTCTACAGTTTCTATCTTTTACCTGTTTTTTTTTTTTAATTTAATTTTTTTTTTCTGTTATGTATTGTTTGTGTCAGTGTTGATGTCCTCCGTTGGATCCATACATTTACATACTGTGCATACTTATAGTATGTCTGTTTGTTTGTGTTGTATTTTTCAACTGTTTATGGTGGTAGTTTTCAAAAACATCAGGCAGTAAATGAATTTAGATTTTGGCTGTCAAAAGTAAAATAAGAAAAAAAGCAATACCATGACCAAAACCAATTCAGACGGAAGGATAGCAACAGTCTACAAACTATACACAAAACAAAACAAGGAACCCAATAAAAACAGTGGCCACATGGCCTCGGGTAAGAAAGGAACCCAATAAAAACAGTTGCCACGTAGCCTCAGGTAAGATCAACATCACATGGACTTTGGTGTTGTAAACTTACAAAACTTTAGCCGAAATTGCGTCTATATTAATTAATAATGACCAATGTAGAAATACTTTATACTTTAATACTACTGATGATATGTTCAAAGAAAAGAAATTTCTATCAAAACGTAGTTTATAGATAATTTGCAAATAAGCTGCTTGTTGTATTCAAATTAAAAAGTCTAGATTTTAGACAATAAGAACAAGTTCATACAAGAAAATTAATATTCAACATCGGCGGTAGGTGTTATTTTCTGATCCTCATCCGACCAACATGTTTCGATGACGTGTGCACATGAAAGTTGATATGCAACATTGAAGATAGCTGTTATTTTCTTTTCCTCGTTTGACCAGACGGTTTTGATGACGTATACACATGAACTGCTGTTGTATAAACAAGGCTTATTGTAAACTCCACAGTTCTGAAACAATATAAAGTTAAAATGAGGCTGTGTGCATGATTAGCTGATTCGCTCAGTGCAATCATTACATTTATGAAATGTTTATGGTAGCTGATGACAATATTTGGATAGATTTAATTTTTGTCATCTTCATTGATAAATCTATCAAAAACCTGATAAATACAGTCCTTTACTAAGAATTCAAGGCATCATCATTCAGAAAACTATTATATTTAAAAAAAAAAACAGATTCATTTTACAAATGCATTTTAAATCTATGATACAATTTTGTTTGCTTAATAACGATAATAATTGTTCAACAACAAAAATTTCCATTTGCTTGTCTTAGTCGTGTTTATAGTATACACTTTAATAGCGGACTGGTTCCTGTACTGTTATAAATCAGAGTTTATGGCCAAACTCAGTAAGGACCCGTCTAAATTCTATTTAAGAAGTTCAACAACACTTATTGTTATCTTGATGATGTGTTTTCGTTAAATGATCAAGAATTCTCTTAATATATTGCCGAAAGTTACCCTATGGAACTTACTTTAAATAAAACAAATATTAACAGCAACAACTGCCCTTTTGTAGATTTAGATGTTTCAGTTTACACGAGAAACTCTTCACAAAAATTACGACAGAAGGGACACTTTTTAATTCCTTATTGTTAATTTTCCCTTCTTTGGACGGATTATTAAGTCAGGGATTAAGTTACCACAAATCACTAAAAACTTTTCACTTAATTCTTCCATGGATACAAAGATTTGGTTTGAAAGCTTATTTCAAACGGAATAGCACATAAAAGTTTTTACAGTGATGTTGTTTACCGAGCACGTAAATTTAGATACGATACGATCTGGGTGAACTTATCAATCTTTAAATAAACTTATTCTAAAAGGTTACCAATTCAACACTGTAATTAGATTTTTTATTACTTTTTTTATTAGTATAAATATTGATTTTGTTGTCAGTAAATTAAAACCATATCAAATATTATTGTTATACACATATTCCCATTCACGGTACTACAATCTGTCGATACCTATAGTTTGGCATTACACAAAGTCATGTTTTCCCCGACATGTTAATGACGTCTTTAGACTAGACCCATTGGATGTTGGAGGTGTGCTCTTTGATATTTTAGTGTTAGATATATGACTTTCTTTTAGTATTTATTGGCTCTGAACTAGCCTTCGAAACTACGATAACTATCAAATCTGTACTTTGTGTCTTTCTTGTTTTTAGGACTTTATCAATATCTTGCCACGTCCGTTCTGTGTTTTTATTAGATGTTTTTTTCTACTTTGTAGCAATCTGGTGAGTTAAGCCCTTTTCAAATGATTTTGAATAGTTTGTTTTATGGTGTACTGTTACCTGACTGTTCGAGGTTAGAAGAGGGTTGGCGCCTTCAATTTAATCCCGCCACATTCCAATGTGCCTATCCCAAGTCAGGAGCCTGTAGGTCAGTGGTTGTCGTTGGGTCATGTCTGTCATATTTGTTTTTCGTAAATTATTTTGTTTATTACTAGTGTGCCGTTAGTTTTCACGATTAAATTGTTTCATATTATTCATGTCGGGGCCTTGTATAGCCGACTATACGGTATTGTTTTTTCTCACTGTTGAGAGCCGTACGGTTGCCTATACATTTCTGAATGAGAAAGCTCTGTACAAAAGTATGTGCATGCTAATAAAAGATTCGCTACATGTTGATCAGTCTCTAAAATAGATACAACTACCTCGATGGTAGCGTGCTTACCAAAGGATTTGATCCTTTCCGTGTCAAACCTAGGATTTAAACTCGGTATTTGCTGCTTTTCCGCTATGCAAGCAACATTAAGTAGTAAGAGCAAACACTGGCCATTTCGGAGTTCGGGAAGAGTGCAATGTACAGAAAATATTTATATTTACATCACAAAAATATAAGATTTGTTACAATTGATATGTTTTCTTTCGTTAAGCAAGAAAAGAAAAATGGACTTATAATTCAATCACGATGAATATTATAGTATATACTTTTGTCTTCAGCATTTTTAATATAAATTAATTGCTATGTGGTATTATATTTACCTGTATAAGGACTGGAACACAAGCCATGTTACAGGTTTCAAACGTCTGGTGTAAAATATTCCTCCGTATTCACTAAAGATAATGTAAAGCTTACAAATGATTAAAATTCCCAAAGAAAATGTTTGGATATAACATACTTTTAACATTCGTTGTAACATTTTAAATTGTCGTACTCTGTATAAACTTAAAAATGAAATCGACACCGGAAATCCTGCTTGATTTTTACGATTCGCTTCCGTTGTTTGCTGACTATCAAATGATTTGCTCCTAGAGTCTGAACTATTTTCAGACATATGGCTGTGACATTCACCATCAGCTAAGTACCCTTGCTCATTTGAAGTAGATTTTGAATTTTCTTGTCTTACGTCATTGAAGTCGTTGGGTATTAATTCATTGTCGAGAACAAGAAATTTAGCAGAGTAACATTGTTCTTGAGGTCCTTCTTTATACACAGAGTCCGTTGCAGTATTTGGATTTATTAGTTTATCTTTTGTAATATCGGGTATAAAATCTTCCTTTTTCACCTCCTTACTTTGTGAATTTCCTCCGAAGTTTAGTATGTCATCGGTGAAACTATTTGGCTTTATAATTAAATTGCAGGGACGTTTTATCACCTTTGAAAATATTGCCTGATGTTTTTCGACTTGTACTTTTCCTTCAATCACAGAGGAGTCGGAAAAACTTGTTAGCGATATCTTCCTAAAAGAACTTTCGGATTTCCTTATCTTTGGAAATTGCAGCCGTTTCTGGTTACAATCGAATGACTGAGAAATTTTGAACTCTCTTTTCCTGTATGAGCTAAATTCATTAAAACTTTTGCTTGCTCTCTTTGTTTCCCTTATGTATTGCGATAGTTGTGGTGCTCCATATATAAAAACAGACAGTAACAGAAAAGCAAAAATGGTAACGATTCCGTCGTTGATAACTGGGAGCGGAAAAGTAGTAATTTGAAAGCATGTCAAGATTATACGTATTGCTAGAAGCACTGACTCGACTATACAACACACCAACAACAAATTAAAATTCTTTATTTTCGGCGTACCGATGTGTAATCGAGTTTGTTTTGATAAAAAGTAATGAAGTAAGAAAAAATTCCATAGCATTATAGTGTCTGGGATCTTCCAGAGGAAACTTAAGATTATTTCTGGCATTCTCTTCAAAAGACCATACGGATCAATCAATAAAAACGTTATGGTGCAAACTTCAGATATAATGGCTAATACTAAAATAGCAAACATCAGACGTTGTCGAATTAAAAGCTTCACATACTTAATAATCAAGAACATCCCATATACATAGGCTATTAGATATACGAATGCAAATAAATAGTTATGAGTAAGAAAAGCTTCATAACAACAATATTTCATATCAGTTTCGTTTGGAATACCATACACGGATTGTGTTTGATCCATATAAAAGGTTGTATTGTTGCTTAACATGGCTCTTATGAAAACAATTATCAGGAAAACTCTATCTGGCCCTTCATACATTCATCACACAGTCTGCGAAGGACACGTCTCACTTAACGGCCACAATTACCGGTATTAATCACTAGAAGAAGTACTAAAAAAGGAATTAATCCACTAACAGTCCACAGTCTTGACAGGTATCAAAAGCACATCCTAGTATGACAAAATTATATATTGGTGTCTGATTGATTATCAAGAATTACACAATGTTTACATCTAAACAGTTGGAAATAAATAAAAGAAAGTACCAATTAATGTAGCGAAATGACCAAAGGGTATTTGTAATTAACCTTGATAAATGCTTTCTCCAGTACATCACAAAACCATCAAATGTCGGACAAATACATAAATAACACATTCTGTTTGCTTCTGCATCGTATTTTCAGTTCACCATGTATCGTTGCCGGAAATACAATAATAAAAGTATAAGATAATTTGTCTATAGCAATCACCGGACGCTAGACATTTACAAATTATAGCTCCTAAACGTACAACACTTAATCCATTTCCACAAATAGTCAGACCCAATTTATTGGATTATGGGTAATTTTGTTCCTTTGACATAAAGCTTCCGGCTACATTAAGCTTGACGAGTTCTTTAAGTTCATCATTAGATATTAATCTGTTCCTTACAATAACGAAACATTCGAAAACATTTGCTGACTTAACTACACAAAATGAAGATTTAATCGAGAGAAAACTTCCATAATGAAATTTTAACGGTCCATAACTCTGTAACACTCTTTTGATGAGTTTGACAATGTCATAAAAAGCTGACACAAACACAATTATTCCATACATTGGCGGCCACAAGGGACAATGTCTTATTACGAAACCTATCTAACTTTGTTTTATAGAAATGTTACGGCCAGTGCATCAAAAAGAAATTGGAATTACAGCAATGTATACCGAGATAGCACTTACAAATGAAGTTAATCAACATTGGCAAATGTGTTTGTTGACATTTTGATTAAAAGTTGTAATGATTTCGTGTCTTATCAAAGATCTGATACCTTTACAATGATTAGGGAAAAACAGTATTACATCGCATAGATGTAATTATACGCTATACGCAAAATCTCTCTGAATTTACTGAATTTACCATTCCTATAATGTATAGGCCATTTCACGGACACATTTATTTTCCCACTTGGAAGACGTTATTTAAAAAAGAATTTATTATGGTGCAATATTTATGAATATGTTATCGATGGCTATGTACACATGGGTCATAATTCTGGGAAATCAAACTTAGAAAACGTTGCGAATATAAAAACCGAACGTGCATATAGATAACATCTTAAACGTTAAAGTCTCTCTGAGGGTTTAAAAAAAACAATAAGAGAAGAGGCAATACATCCTATATATTTAGCATGTTTAAAAGTAACAATGTACTCCATTCACTACTGTCCCAGGTTATGGGGTGGCCAAGCGCTCACAAATATGTTTAAACCTGTGACATTCTTTATGTGTCATGTCTGAAGAAAGGAGCACGTAATCCATTGAATGTCGTTGGTTGGTTATCTGCGATTAAATAAAATCGTTTATTGTCGTATTATAGCTCAATTAGTTGGTTTTCCCTTTTAATTTTATCACATTTGGTTATTACGGAAAATATCATACCTATAACAAAGCATTATATGGATGGAAAATTGCAAACATTAGCATTTACTTTCATTTTTGTGATATAAGCGCGTAATACATTATGATGTATCAAGTTTTACGAGTTCTGTCAAATTCATTTATATTTCTTGAATTTGAGTTTTTTTTTCCAGCATTATTTTTAAATAAGAAGGTCACACAACATCATTTCTTGTACCATAATTATCGATTATCGATGTGGAAAATATTTTCTGGAACAATTAGCTTGATAAGCATTATAATGATATTAATGCATTTTCGGTATCAAAAAGAGATAAATCTCCATTAAGAGAACAAATGAAAGCTAACAAGTTAAAACATTATATTCATGTCGTAAAGTTAAGTTCTGATCTGCTCCTCGTAGTCTATCTCAAACGAACAAAGGGGTAGGTTGACGAGAAGAGAAGTCAAAATTCGAATTTGGATTCCATTGAAATGTCGAGTGTTTTTTGAAAAGCAAGTCTATTAAACGGAACAAAAAAAGTATATAGATGTCTTGATAATTTCAGTTACACAAAACTGGAGAGTATTAGATGATCTTAAGGGAACAAGACCGATGGTCAATCTATAGAAATAAGACATTTAAAAATACTTAACAGAGGTTCATCTAACTAAGACAACCGCACACAGAAGTCAGGATTCCAATGCATGGATCAGTTGTAAGTTGTGTGAGACTGTAACAACATACATTATAATTACCCATCACTAGGATGCAACCACATGCAAGATCTCAGTCTAGTTCGACCGGAAGAGGTGGCGACGGGTAGGCAGAACTTCTGTAACCAAGTTGATATCTGCAAGTTTAACCTATTTATAATTTAACAAGGATCCGAATAATGTGCGAAGATGCTACCAGTGAATGTGTATCGCCAGGACAATCGGATAAAGGCTATCCAAATGTACGCTATTATTGACCAGAGCAACTGGTATCTTACCTCACCTCAACTACTCAGTATATTCGACGTACCGGAGGACTACACTCTAACAACAAGATCTGCCAGTGATGTCACTTCTATTAAAGGAAAAAAACCTGTGTTGTACCCAGTGGCATTGTTTAAAAGTTCCCACAATCAAAGCGGAAGCAAACACAATCGTAAATGAGAAATTGATCACGTACCCGCGTCAAATCTTGGGTATGATTCTCGAAGAGAACGATTGTTTATAATTTTGTGTAATATATTTATATAGAGTGACGATTCGTCTTATACATTCATTTACACATGTTGAATGATATAATGAATTAATATAGTGACATCGTATATTTTGATGTATTTTATTTATGGAATAGTGTTTGCAGACTGATTTCAGACGGGTATATGTACTGGATCGTAGTCCGTTATTATATACAATATTTACGTAGTTAAATATCTCAACCATACAGTGTGATATTCTCGGTTCACTCTCCTCATTTTCTTAGTGTTGACATTGAGAAAAACTCCCTTCATGAATACAAACTGTTTTAATATATTTCTTTGGCTCCGTTAATTTTGATTACACGTGTTTTAGATACATACGGACTGTTTATACAAGTCTTAACATTAGATTTGTGAACTGTAAATCGTGTTTTACTTTCTATTCATTTTATGACTGTTTTTCGAATTGATTTAAAAAGTAAAATCACAAAAATACTGAACTCCGAGGAAAATTCAATCGGAAAGTCCCTAATCACATGGCAAAATCAAATGACAAAACACATCAAACGAATGGACAACAACTGTCATATTCCTGACTTGGTACAGGCATTTTCAAATGTAGAAAATGGTGGATTGAACCTGGTTTTATAGCGCTAAACCTCTCACTTGTACGACAGTCTTATCAAATTCCGTTATATTTACACCGATGCGTGAACTATTTTAAACTTAGTATGTCACACCTTTTTAATTTGTTTTCTTCCTTTTTTAGATAACTATAGAAACAGGCCTACTGTATCGCTTCTGGTTGAATTATATTAAGTATCTTTGAACACAAGTTGTTCTGTTTATATTCGCCGATATTGCAGTTCTGTCAATCGGTTATACTTACTTTGGCAAACGAGCATCACTTCTTTTTTATATCTGACCCGGATTTATTTTCTCTCAATCGATTTATGACTTTTGAACACCGGTATACTACTGTTGCCTTTATTTATTGTAAAAGTAAAGTAAAAATTGTCTAATCCCTTATTTTTAATACCTGTGCATTAATAGTTATTCGTTTTTTATATAGATTAGACCGTTGGTTTTCCCGTTTGAATGGTTTTACAGTAATTTTTAGGGCCCTTTATAGCTTGCTGTTCGGTGTGAGCCAAGGCTCCGTGTTGAAAACCGTACTGTGACCTATAATGGTTTACTTTTATAAATTTTGACTTGGATGGAGAGTTGCCTCATTGGCACTCATACCACATCTTCTTATATCTATATATACGTTCGTAAGACAAATCTAATACGACATTTACATTATTTGGCTTAGGACTTCCGAAATAAGTGTAGTTATTACTCAGCTTTGCCTTTTAGGATGATAACAGCAATTACTTATATTCATCATTATAATTACTTATCAGTCTTTAGTAATCGTTACTAAGCAATTCTGTATTAAAGCAAAGTCATTCATTACAATGTATATGATTAACCATAAAAAAGATGACATTTATAATAAACAGTGGAAAATTAATGTGACTTTTTGAATGATAAGGTTAATCAGTATAACGCATCTGTGGTTTCTTCATCATGTTATTTAGAAAGACAGATAATTATAAGATCTTCAGTACTATTGATTGTTAATCAAGTGACAATTAATGGAAGAGATACTATGCATACAAAGTCTATTTGTTTCGCCTTGTCTCCATTCATTGATCGAAAAATATAATGAATACTTCGATGTGTTCTGATAGATAATCCTTAAAAACTGTTTTATACGGTACATCACATTTGCGTGAATTATCATTACATTTGCACGTATTCATTTTAAAGGTAAATAGGTATATGTTAGCAAAATATTATGATAAATATGGTTTTATTGTCTCGCCGGAATGCGAGATATAGGAATCACTATCCGGCGGTTGCGGACACTATTCGTATTAATCTTTATATATCTTAAGGTATTAGACCTGGATGTTGCATACTTTAGTAGTTTTGTCTGTTTATCTGATACTACTAGCAATAATAGTCAACTATATTTGGTGTGTGG